GGACTCCTGGGCTCTGTCACCCAGGCTGGAGTGCAGTGGTGTGATCTTGGCTCACTGCAGCCTCACCTTCCAGGCTCAAATCATCCTCCCACCCGACCTTAGCTCAAGTGATTCTTCCACCTTGGCCTCCCAAAGTCCTAGGATTGCAGGGTGAGCCACCACGCCCACCCTCAATTTTATGTTTCGACGTCTCCAAAAGAGGTCCTATATTTAGTCACTGAGATATACTGTTAAGGATTAAAAGGAAAAAGTCATCATCATATGACTTTAAACTTATGCTACTTTTCCACTTAGTGCACTATGAATTAATATTTTATAAATCCGTGATTATATTGTGAGTAGCAAAATATTAATATTATAAGATATATCACATTGCAATTAAGAGAAATAAGCCACAAATTTTTATATTCCATTATAGAATTTCTTCGTTTTTAAAATTAACTGAGAGGCTGGGCGTGGTGGCTCTTGCCTGTAATCCCAGCACTTTGGAAGGCTGAGGCAGGTGGATCATCTGAGGTCAGGAGTTCAAGACCATTCTGGCCAACATGATGAAACCCTGTCTCTGCTAAAAATACAAAAAATTAGCCGGGTGTGGTGGTGGGCACCTGTAATCCTAGCTACTTGGGAGGCTGAGGCAGGAGAATCGCTTGAACCTGGGAGATAGAGGTTGCAGTGAGCTGAGACTGTGCCATTGCACTCCAGCCTGGGCAACAAGAGCAAAACTCCATTTCAAAAATAAATAAATAAATAAAAAACAAAACAAAACTGACAGCCTCAAAAAATGGAAGTGGTCCAGGCCTCTGGGAGGCCTTGAACATAATTATCACTTTATCTTTAAAATGCGATAGTTTTAAGTAGGGACCTAAAGCAAATGGGTTGTTAATAACTGTATAAACACCTAGCTAACATAGTCCCGTCACTAGACTTACTGTTTCTGCAGCCACGTGACTGGCAGTCAGAAAACTACCAGTTCCTAGAGCAGTGGTTCACAAACCCGGCTGCAGGTAGGAATCACCTGCATTTTCCCAGATTCCACTCCAGATCTCCAGGGCTGGGGCCTGGAGATCCCTATCCTTAAAAAGCTCTCTCTGGGCGCGGTGGCTCAAGCCTGTAATCCCAGCACTTTGGGAGGCCGAGGCAGGTGAATCACGAGGTCAAGAGACCAAGACCATCCTGGTCAACATGGTGAAACCCTGTCTCTACTAAAAATACAAAACATTAGCTGGGCATGATGGCGCGTGCCTGTCTGTAATCCCAGCTACTCAGGAGGCTGATAATTGCCTGAACCCAGGAGGTGGAGGTTGCGGTGAGCTGAGATTGTGCCATTGCACTCCAGCGTGGGTAACAAGCACGAAACTCCGTCTCAAGGAAAAAAAAAAAACAAAAACAACAACAACAACAAAAAGCTGTCTCTTTTCTTCCTACACTGAATTTCCTTATGGAATTCAAACTACTATAGCTAATACTGCGGTTCAGCTGCATCAAGAGTGAGAACTTGTCTCTCCAAAAAGCCAAAAAATGAGGCGGGAGGATCACTTAAGCTTAAGAGGCTGAGGCTGCAGTGAGGCCTGATCGTGCCATTGACTTTCACCTGAGTGACAGAGCGAGACCATCTCAAAAAAAAAAAGAGCGTTGAACAGATCTGAAGCCCAGTTTGAGGGCCAACCACTGTTTTTAATGTAGTCTCTCCAGGGTGATGTGTTGGAAGTGCCCAACAAATAATTTATAAAAAAGAAGTTTGAGAATGTGGTCCACAGATTTTTTTGGGGAAATTGACCACACAGAACTTTTGATCAAAATGCCTTCATTTGTTCCTCAAATTTCTTTCTTCTTCTTTTTTTTTTTTTGTGAAAGAGGTGGCTTTTCATTCGGCCGGGAGTCTTGGCAGACTCGCGTCTCAAGAACCGAGCTCTTGTTCCTCAAATTTCTTATTGTGTCTTTACTACATGAAGTAAACAAATGCTGGCTGGGCATGGTGGCTCACACCTGTAATCCCAACACTTCGAAAGGCCGAGGCAGGCAGATCACTTGAGGTCAGGTGTTTGAGACTAGCCTGGTCAACATGGCAAAATACTGTCTTTACAAAAATACAAAAATTAGCCAGGTGTGGTGGTGTGTGCTTGTATTCCCAGCTTCTCAGGAGGCTGAGGCAGGAGAATCCTTTGAACCCGGGAGGTGGAGTTTGCAGTGAACTGAGATCATGCCACTGCACTATAGCCTGGGCAACAGACTGAGACTCTGTCTTAAAAAAAACAAACTAAACAAATGCTGAATTGAAATTGTTAAGTTCAAGTGTAAGTGTCAGTTCTTATAAACAAGGTAAAGTCCCAGTTTTTCGTTTTGTTTTGTTTTGTTTTGTTTTGGAAACAGAGTCTTACTCTGTTGCCCAGGCTGGAGTGCAGTGGCTTGATCTTGGCTCACTGTAACCTCTGCCTCCCAGGTTCAAGTGATCCTCCTGCCTCAGCCTCCCGAGTAGCTGGGACTACAGGCGCACGCCACCACACCCAGCTTTTTTTTTTTTTTTTTTTGAGGTGGAGTTTCGCTCTTGTTACCCAGGCTGGAGTGCAATGGCGTGATCTCGGCTCACCACAACCTCCGCCTCCTGGGTTCAAGCAATTCTCCTGCCTCAGCCTCCCGAGCTGGGATTACAGGCAGGCGCCACCATGCCCAGCTAACTTTTGTATTTTTACTAGAGATGGGGTTTCATCATGTTGACCAGGATGGTCTTGATCTCTTGACCTCATGATCCGCCCGCCTCGGCCTCCCAAAGTGCTGGGATTACAGGTGTGAGCCACCGTGCCCCGCCATTTTTTTTTTTTGTATTTTTAATAGAGACTGGGTTTCACCATGTTAGTCAGACTGGTCTCTAATTCTTGACCTCAGGTGATCCACCAGCCTCGGCCTCCCAAAGTGCTGGGATTATAGGCATGAGCCACGGCGCCCGGCCTAGTTGTGGTTTTTTACTTTTTTTTTTTTTTTTGAGATGAGATCTCACTTTATCACCCAGGCCGCATTGCAGTGGTACCATTATAGCTCACTGCAGCCTTGACCTCCTGGGCGCAAGTAATCCTCCTGCCTCAGCCTCCTGAATAACTGGGACTACAGGTATAAGTCACTATGCCTTGCCAATTTTAAAATTTTTTGTAAAGATGGGGTCTTAACTATGTTGACCAGGCTGGTCTCAAACCCTTGACTTCAAGCGATCCTCCTTCCTCTGCCTCCCAAAGTGCTTGGATTACAGGCATGGGCCACCATGACCAGCCAAAGTACCAGGTTTCTGTGGGCAGTAAAACTTCAGCCCAAACTGTCAAATAACTCAATTGTTTTTGCCTCCATAAAGAATCAAATACAAGGAAAATGGTTTTTCAACACAGAGAAAAACAAATTCCAAGATACGGGCTGAGGTCCGTATACATGCTGCCTATTCTCCTTTACCTTCTGGTTCTTCATCCTACCTCTGAACTATGGTATCGATGCTCTGAAGAAGACCCTGCATCCCAGCAGTATTCCTCATCTATAAAATATTGAATTGTGTTCCTTTAAACCCCAAACATACAAGATGATGTCCAGGGAAGTTAGAGGAACATGTGTCAGTTGAAGAATCAGGGGTATGGTCCCTCCTGTCTATCTCCCCAGTTTACCCTGGCCCACGTCCCATTTGAAGTGACCATGTATATGGAGACAGAGGAGGATATTCTTCCACTTTTAACCTCAAAAGGAGACAGTGGAGGCATCTAGATCAAGGTAACAGTTATCCTTTGAGGAGCTGTGACAAGAATATTTGGAAGTGGACCAAATCCAGAATAATCAAGCTTGAAAGGACTATAATTGTAAGCAGTAGCAAATGCTGTTGTGTTGATAAATACAAAGTACAGTCATAAAGGTGGGGGATTTAATCATGTTCCAGAATGATATGGCTGTTAAGGCTTTCCAGGTAAGCCAGAGAGTTGAGACAATCCTCATTCAAGTAAGAAACGAATTTGCCCCTCCTTATCTGCAGGTGAGTGTTAGAAGGACGACGGATGGATTTGAGGCCTTGTAGTAGGACTGAATTCCCAGGATGAGCTCCAACCACCTCTGAACACCCCAGAGATATCTATGTTCCATGTGGTCTAGTCTGCACCAAGGCCATAGAAGCTACCCTCACTTTTCCTTGCTGAATTATCAAAATAATTGCCCTCAGCCCATGCCTCACGACCCTGTAGACAGAATCCACTCATTTCCCTATCACATGGGCTACAATTGCTACTTCAAATGAAAACCTGGGAAGCCAATTCTCTGCTGCGGCTGAAAGTGTATAATTAGCTTCTCTTGCAGTCTGTCCCCACTGATTTTTCTGACGCATGTTGCCTGGAGTGTGCCCTTTCTGGGACCTCCAATGTCTTCTCCACAGCTGGAGATGCCCAAAACTGCACGCAGCACTTCCTGTGGGTGTGGCCTTGCATTCTTAGGACTGAAGCGTACCCGTTACATGCCAAATGGATCACAGGCTCCAGCCACTCACAGATTCACAATACTTTTAAAAATATAGCAGTGGAGCATGAGTGGCTATATCAGATATGAGGGGTTTCCACCCCCTCCCTTGTCTTTTAAAATATGATTTTGTAATGCTGGCCTGAAGAAACACTATAATTGGTCAGCCTGGGGTGCGTTTGAAGGCCTTCGCTATTGCGTCATTCGCCATTCTCAGGAGAGGAAAGGCAGGGTATCCCCCCGGGAGAATGACAACACACTTGTTTCAAGTTAGGGAAGAGCCTGCGGTTCTCTTCCTGAGTTTGGGGAAAAGCGAACACACAATGTTCATTTCCTAAATACGGGATGTGCTGTGCTGGCAGGTCATTTTCCACCATGTCACATCCTTCTGGATGAAGGCAGCAGGGGTCAGGACAGGAAATGGCAAATTCTCAGAATGAGACAAGGCTTTCCCAGGGCAGCCATTGGTTCTCTGGAACTATAAAGCACACTCATCCAGAAACGGCCTCAGATTTTACTTTGGTTCTCTGGAACTATAAAGCACACTCATCCAGAAACGGCAGCCAGAAGTGAATGGTAAGTGGGGAACCCAGAGGCATATATTTGGGATGACTTTTTCTCATTTTCTCTTTTTACCTGGAAAATTATCCCTGGTGGACTGGATTATGGAAACATGGAAGTAAAATTAAGTCCTATGAGTCAGGAGATGAGGATTCTAGCCTGGGCTCTGTAAAGGATCAGCTGCTTCTAGAACATGTCTGATGCAGGTGATTCTTCCAGACAAGAATAATGGTTTCTGCCCTGATAGCTCACAGCTTTGAAATGCTCTATTTCTATGGGTCATTTGCCACTTTTAAGAAGTTCCTGATAATGAAGAGTACAGTGGACACGAAGATGGGAATCTTGGCAACTAGGATGAATGTACTTTTCCACCAAGATGTACAATTTGTTAATATCTTCGTCAGTCATCTTCAGTTGGTTTCAACTTAGTACAAGTTGTTGAACAAAAATTTTGGCCACTTTATTCAACCATTACTCATTTTTTTTAAAGGAAACTTTCTTAATAAAGAGACATAATGGTATTAATTTAATGTAACTTAGTTTAAATTAAGCACCCAGCAAAGACTGATATTTCTGAAGGTCCAAGGAGCCCTATTTAGAATAAACAGCCCTAGTTAGAATAAAGAGCGCAAACCTCATTTTAGGTTTGACTCTAAGAAAAAGAGGCTGGAAGAATCACGAGCAGAAGAGCTGCTTCAGGCAAGCATCTAACTTAGATTAGTTTCTTCTGCTTGGTAGAAAATATGATTTTTAAGGTTTTGGTGACGTGTTTTCCATTTATTAGAGAAAGAGAGAAAAGTATGTTGCAAAACTCCTAGGATCCAATTTTCATATAATGAAAGGGTTTTGCAAACTGTACAACCTACCACTTACAAAGTGTTATCTTAAATAGAGCAAAGGCCTCAGTATTGGAGAAGCCTTCTAATACCACGCCCCTCCCAGTTTAAATCTTATTTAACACATAGCTGACGAAACCCGTCGTAAGCGTTCCTTGGGAGAGAAGCAGAAGATAGCACCATTCCTGTTTCCATATGCAGAGATAAGGCCCTGAGAACTTGCAGGGCTCCGGATTCCGGAACAGGTCTTCTTTGAGAACCTGACCCACCACGATCCACTGCCAGCAGACCCGTTCCCCTAGCGTTGCAGGGGATGCTCCGCTGAACTCGTGCCAACTTCCCGCGGGGGCCCGGGAAGCGGGGGCGGGAGCGGCGGCTGGCTCGGAGACTCCAGGCTGATCGCTCGTCTGTGTTCCCACAGGGCATGGAGAGGCCGGCGGCCCGGGAGCCGCAGGGGCCCGACGCGCTGCGGCGCTTCCAGGGCTTGCTGCTGGACCGCCGCGACCTGCTGCACGGCCAGGTGCTGCGCCTGCGCGAGGTGGTGCGCCGCCTGGAGCGCCTGCGCAGACGCTCCCTGGCGGCCAACGTGGCTGGCAGCTCGCTGAGCGCCGCGGGCGCCCTGACCGCCATCGTGGGACTCTCGCTCAGCCCTGTCACGCTGGGAGCTTCGCTGGTGGCGTCGGCCGTGGGGCTGGGGGTGGCCACAGCCGGAGGGGCTGTCACCATCACGTCCGACCTCTCGCTGATTTTCTGCAACTCCCGGGAGCTGCGGAGGGTGCAGGAGATCGCGGCCAGCTGCCAGGACCAGATGCGCGAGATCCTGAGCTGCCTTGAGTTCTTCTGCCGCTGGCAGGGCTGCGGGGACCGCCAGCTGCTGCAGTGCGGGAGGAACGCCTCCATCGCCCTATACAATTCTGTCTACTTCATCGTCTTCTTTGGCTCACGTGGCTTCCTTATCCCCAGGCGGGCGGAAGGGAACACCAAGATTAGCCAGGCCGTGCTGAAGGCCAAGATTCAAAAACTGGCCGAGAGCCTGGAGTCCTGCACTGGGGCTCTGGACGAACTCAGCGAGCAGCTGGAGTCCCGCGTCCAGCTCTCCACCAAGTTCAGCTGTGGCCACGACCTCAAGATCTCTGCTGACCAACGTGCAGAGCTGTTGTTCTGAGAACATCCTTTCCTCCTAATGATCGAGGCCAGCAAATCATCCCCATGGGATGCTCCAGATTTTGTAGCTCCCTTAGGAAAACACCAACTTGGCTTAGGAGCCGAAGGCAAAAGATGAGAAAAACTGTTTTCGAAGTGGGTGGGTCCCCACAGCGCTTCTTTTCCCATCACCGTGACAGCTGCCTGGGCTTGAGTGCTACGGACTTTTCAGTTGTGTGATTCTAGTGGAAGAATGTGACCCCAAAACTGTTTTTCTTTTATCAGAACCTTTCTGTCTAAACACAGCTGGACAGGCACTTCTGTTTTAAAGTTATTCCAGGGTCCCTGACCCTGCCCTGTTGGCTTGAGCTGAGACTGGAGAGGGTGCCACCCACTGGGTCCTTGCCAAGTCCTACTAGTCTTTGAAGTCCTCAAAATGCCCGTGAGAGGAGGCACTTGCTTTTTAAAGGCAGACACTTGCCTCTCTAGCTAGAGTTTCTGATACAAAGAACTCCAGAATTCAGAGCAAATCAGCCCTTCTCTGAACGTCATAGGGCGGTTCGGGACCCAGAGAGGACCCTGTTCCTCTTTGCTTTCCTTTCAGCTCACCCACTGCCAGATGCAGCCTGAATATGGAGTGGGCCTTTCCTGAGTGGCTCCCAGTCCAGTCCTCCAAGTACTCAGAGGGGAAGTCTGCCAAACCATCTTCTAAGTCCCGCTCCGTCACGTGAAGCAGCTGAGGCCCAGATAGATGGAGCGACTGATAACTTCATTTCCCAACACCATTGTGTTCAGAAGAGAGTGATGGGTTTTGAGTTAGACCTTCCTGGGTTTGAGACAGGGATTGTCACTGCTGTTTGAGCATAGCCACCTGATCTCTCTGAGACTGTGTAAAACAAAGATGATAAAACCTCACCCTGCTGCGAGACATTAAATGAGCCAAAGTGCCTAGCATAGCGCTGTAGTGTAGTCCCTGGAATGGCAAATTAACACCACCCAGGAACTTGTTAGAAAGCAAATTCTTGGACACAATCCCCCAATTTATGGAATCAGAAACTCTGGATGTGGGGCCCAGCAACCTGAGTTTCAACGATTTCTATAGGTGGTTCTGTGGCACACTAAGGTTTGAAAACCACTGCAACAAATGCTAACTTCTAATCCTCTCAATGAGCTTTCACGAAGTCTGACAAAAGACAAACTGTGTCCCAGGAGCCAGAGAGAGAATGATTGTGTGTGTGTGCACGCGCATGTGCATCCTGGGGCAGTGTCTCACCATATGAACTAAGGGACGTAACACTATAAACCCATTAGAGGGCAGTGTTTCCCACTTATTGTAGAAACTGGTACAGAAAGGAATGTGAAGTTCCTGAAACTGAGCTTTCTCTATTACTACCTTCTCCGAAAAGCGCCAGTCCATGTATTTTTTAATTTATTTTAAGTTTGTAATTTAATTATTGTTTATTATTTGCATTTAATTTTATTAAATCATCACATTTAGAAAATAATAAGAGCAAGTTTCTAAATGGAAGACTGCTGAGGCTCTTTGCAAGAGATGAGATTAAGTTTGAGTTTCTAAGGCAAAGCATGAGCTGGAAACAGCATTGCTTTCCTTGAATGTCTCTCTCCTTCAGGGGGATTTTTTTCCTCTAGTGTTTTAAATGATCCATTTAAGTAAGCATGGAGAATGTTGAATAGCAAGGCCAGAAGCTGAGTTTAAGCTTGTAATGGAGGCTTGCATTGTGGGATATATAACTGAGGAAGCATATTTATCCTGAACGTATTTTGCCAGAAGATAACACTTGACCTGGGAAAAAAACCTATTTAGTTCAGGAAAAATAAAAATTTAGAGATACGTGAAGGAAGCACTTAGACCTTGCAAGCCTGATGTCCTATGAAGTTATGTCTCATAGGTGACAGACAGAATAGCATGACTTATGGTGGTGATGTGTTGCATTTTCACTTTGGGGTCCGTAAGAAGCTGTCAGTGAAAATATGTACAATTCCTTCATTTTCCATTCTTAACAGCTGTAATGTTGAAAAATAAGTTGAAAAGTCTTTGGGACCATACATGTGAAAACTGTGCCTCTATTATTTAATTATTTAATATGCTATAAATGTACCTAATCAACCCCCATCCTTCCCAATGATGGCAGTATGTCTGAGGAAGTATAATTTCAGTACTGGGGTTGGGGAGAGGAGGTGATATTTCTATATTTTTATTTTTTCTATAAATTGCAATTGTCTGTATCCTGGTTTATTTTGAAAGGTATATTGGTTTATTTTCAAGCTGATGTAATCTCCTAGACTGCCTCACCCAGATGCTGGCATTTTTTTTTTTTTTTTTTTTTTTTTTGAGACAGAGTCTCATTCTGTCACCCAGGCTGGAGTGCAGTGGTTTGATCTCGGCTCACTGCAACCTCTGACTCCTGGGTTCAAGCCATTCTCCTGCTTCAGCCTCCTGAGTAGCTGGGTTTACAGATGTGCAGCAGCACACCCAGCTATTGTTTTGTATTTTTACTAGAGATGGGTTTTCACCATATTGGCCAAGCTGGTCTTGAACTCCTGGCCTTATGTGATCTTCCCACCTTGGCCTCCCAAAGTGCTGGGATTACAGGTGTGAGCCACCTCACCTGGCCAGATGCTAGCATTTTAGATCGCCGGGATGTACTTCATGTTGTTAGTTGTGTTGTGGGATAAAGGTACAACCATTCCCTAACTCTATCTTTTATTAATGCTTAAGTTTAAATTATATTCTTCCAATGCCTAAGCTATTCCTTAGAAATAAACTGGGCACTTCTGGAAGCAGCATCAACAGCAGCAGCAAACTTTTCTTGTCATTAAGATATTTTGGATGTATCAAAAGTTCTATACTTTTGAAGTTATGATTTCAGTGGCCCACTTTATATCTAAGGAAGAGTGTCTACTTTGGAACAATACTTTGCACATAGTAGGAACTTAAGAAATGCATTTGAATAATTTAATTGACTGTTTAGCTATCTTAATGAGAATGTGTTGATAACAAAACATCATCCATCCCTTTATGTGTAAGATTGGAGCCTCTACCAAGATTTAGTCAATTTCAGTTAGAATGATTCTAGAAACAAATATTTATTTATTTCTTTTATGGGGATTTGAGTAAGGCTTTTCCTTAAGGTCTTCATTCTATAAATGAAAAGGTTGAAATGTATGTTGTAAAAGGGAAGAAGGAAGAGGGATATTTAGATGTTAAGTGTACTTCACAAAAATGTCAGAATTTGAGAAATAAATATGTTTGTACTAAATGTTTAAGTGCTTCTCGGGTTTGCAATCATTTGGGTGGTTTTGTTTCACAATAACGGAGATTCACTGGGTTCCACATTTTAAGGATTCAGTAAAACTACATTTTGTTCCATTAAAAAAATAATCCTTAGCAAACATTCGGATCCTAACTGCTTTGATGCACTTCCCTCGGGCACCTGTCATTTCCAATATGGCAAGTGTCAAAATCAAAAGTATTTACTGGGAGAAAAAGGAGAGGAGTGGTTGTGGAAATCTCCCTAAATCAGATATGTCAAGCCATTAGCCAACGTGGTATATTTCTCAATCAATACTTTAGAGTGAATTGAGATACTGAGATACAGACATTGTGCAGAGATAAATGGGGATACAGTCAAATGTAGCAACTCTTGAGTTCATTTTTTTCCCACTGTAGCAAAATTAACGCTTTCCCTTTATTGAAATAAATTGCTCATTCCTCAAACTTTTTGATCTTTCTGTAATTAATTTCCTAGTTTTACGTTTCCTTGGATATGAAGTAATAACTTTGAAATAGGGCAGATGTTTAATCATTTTCACTTAGAATATTCAGATCAAACTATATGAATCAATTTTTTAAAAGTATTCAATGCATACACAGGAATTCCCTTATTGCCTTGAAATCAGACTTCCAGCAGTCTCAAAACCTTTGAACATAATTATAACTTGGGAAGGAATTGAAAGGAAACCTAGAATCAGCCAAATTAGCCTTCACACAATCCAAACACTGAAGAGAGGTGGACAAGGAGAGTGAAGGGCCGCATGTATATCAGGAAAGCAAAACTTTCCTGAAAATCTCTGGGGGACTTAACCTTGCAAGTCACCGATCTTGACCATGCAAGGCAGGCTGGGAAATGTATTTTTAGCTAAGAACAACGTAGCCCCTAGTAGTATTAAGATTCTGTTGGTAAGAAAGGAAAGGAGGGTGACCATTGAGTAGGGGGTCCAGCAATCCAAACAAAAAGCCTATTGTGGTTGCTGCAGCCAGTTGGGAGCAACTGCTGTGGAGATGACCTCACTATCTGAGTGCCAGCTGCACCTTGGAAACATTCCTGGGTCTGGAGGCTGCACTGTTAATGACTGTACAACCAAAAAAGGCTGTGTTGGCAGGCCCCTGACTGTTTGCAGAGGCCAGCCGCAAGCTGGGATCCTATCTTTGCTGAAGCATATGGTATTCCTGTAGTAACAAGTGTCCTTTTAGTTAATTGCAATAAATCTCTTGTTGAGTTGACAGGAGGTTGGGATGTTACTTTTTGCTCCTGGCAGACTCATAAGAGGAAAAGTAAACCCTGCTGTGGTCTGGAATAGGACAAAGAGTGAGCCCTTAGATCTGAAAACAATCTCTTAGCAACCAGAGAGTTGTTAGGAGAGGGGAAATCGTGCTGATAAAGCAAGATCCATCCAGGGGCCAGGAATGCACATTAGGGGGTCCTCGGCACCTCACACCTGACTAGCATTAGCACTGGGTTGCGGAGAGAAGGCTCTGAGATACGGTCTTTGCTTGCACACGTAGAGACTGTGTGTACGAAGCTCTATCTGCAGAAAATAATGCTTAATCTAATTTTGTATTTACACTATAACCCCAGAGGTGGGAGGACAGGCAGGCCTGTGACCTGATTTGCCCTGAGCTTTAGCCATGGGTCACTGCCAAGGCCTCTGCCTCCCTTACATACAGGAGCAGCCAGATCCTGGCTTCCTTCAGCATTTGTGTGAATACGGTTGCCAAATTCACCAAAATAATTGTAACTGGGAGAAGCTTTTTGTGTAGATGCAGTTTGGGGTAGGGGTGATGTCTAAAAATCTTTCTGTTAGGTGAAACTTATTTTTCTAGGGCTCCCTGGTTGATAAGCAGACATTTGTTTCTGCCCTTACTTTGTATTAAAACTGCACTCTCAAAATATTATTTAAAAACAGTATTTTTCTCACTGCTTAAATAAAATGACATTTCAATAACATTGAACATACACATGGGATATTTAACAATAATAATAGCTAAGAGTTATTGGGAACTCACTAGATACTGTTCTGATTATAATTTGACCTGTATCATTTCATTGACCTTGCAAAAATCTTATGGTTTGCACACTACAATTACCCTATATTATCAGACAACGTAAGGAATTTGAGAGGTTGCATTGCCAGCATGAGGTGCCCCAGAATTTGAATTCTGGCAGCCTGATTCCAAAGTTATAGTTATGCTCCTTTCTCTCTCTCTCTCTTTCTTTCTTTTCTTTCTTTCTTCTTTCTTTCTTTCTTTCTCTCTTTCTTTCTTTCTTCCTTTCTTTCTTTTGAGATGGAGTTTCACTCTTGTCGGCCAGTCTGGAGTGCAGTGGCGCGATCTCGGCTCACTGCAACCTCTACCTCCCGGGTTCAAGCAATTATCCTGTCTCAGACTCCCAAGTAGCTGGGATTACAGGTGCCTGCCGCCATGCCTGGCTAACATTTGTATTTTTAGTGGAGACGGGGTTTTGCTATGTTGGCCAGTGTGGTCTCGAACTCCTGGCTTCAGGTGATCTGTCCACCTTAGCATCCCAAAGTGCTGGGATTATAGGTGTGAGCCAACATGTCTGGCAAATCTCAGCACCTTGGGAGGCCGAAGCAGGTGGGTTGCTTGAGTCCGGGAGTTAGAGACCACCGTGAGCAACATGATGAGACATCATCTGTACAAAAAAATTTTAAACGAACTGAGCGTGGTGTTGCACACTTGTAGTCCCATCTACTTGGGAGGCTGAGGTGGGAGGATTGCTTAAGCCCAGAAGGTCGAGGTTGTAGTGAACTGTGATTGCGCCACTGCACTCCAACCAGCCTGGACAACAGAGCCAGAACCTGTCTGGAAAAAAAAAAAAAATCTCCTGGCAGTAACAGTCTAGCCAATTGGAAAGAGTAATCTTGTGTCAGTAGGTTAGTCAATCAGAAATTAAAATATAGTTTTGCAAGTTAGTATTTACAATAAACTGATGTAGGTGTGATTTGAAAGTTATAGAACTTTGCTCTAATCATACCTGTGTACAGGCTGGCACGGTGGCTCACGCCTGTAATCCTAGCATTTTGGGAGGCTGAAGTGGGTGGACCAACTGAGGTCAGGAGTTCGAGACCAGCCTGGCAAACATGGTGAAACCCTGTCTCTAATAAAAATACAGAAATTAGCTGGGTATGGTGGCCACACGCCTGTAATTGCAGCTCCTCTGGAGACTGAGGCAGGAGAATCACTTGAACTCAGGAGACAGAGGATTCAGTGAGCTGAGATTGTGCCACTGCACTCCAGCCTGGCTGACAGAGTAAAACTCTGTCTCAAACAAAACAAAACAGAAACCTATGTACAGAACAATACTTTGCGATTGTCCCCCCAAATCTCCCAAACATGGCAAGATTCTTGTAAACAAAACACCTGAAGTGGAAGGACATGATTTATAAGGACCTTTTGCTAATTGCAGAAGCACTGGAACTGAAGACATCAGTAGAGACCACACAGACATGAAGGAAGAAATTACTGGTCTAACAGGCCTACCCAGATCTAGTTTTAAAACCTCAAAAAATGAAACTTCTTGGGGTCATTCCATCGAAACTACCACTGACTCTGCTTGTCAAATTTCTTCCTGTTGGGGTGTGTACTCAATTGCAGTCTAGTAGTTATGGGCTAAAAGTGCTGGAGGCATGTGGGTGAGTAGATAGGTATGAGTAGGAATAACATGTTAGGTATCATAAATGTCTTCAAGATCATAATGCTTTGTCTGAGGTTGATTTGATTTTAACATTGTCCTCTGAGGTTTTGCAGAGTAAACACTATTAGCTGTTTAATTTTCATTCTTTCTAACCTCTCTGTAACTTTTGACTTTGCTGAATACCCGATTCTTAAAGCACCCTTTCTCTTGAATTCTGTGATACCAGCCTTTCCTATTTAGTTTCCTTGACAACTTCTTTTCTCCTCCAGTCTTAAAGTTCAAGTTTCCCAGAGCCTCAGACCCAGGCTGCCATTCCCCTGACCTCATCACACAGTCCTTCACTGAGCATGTACGTTTCCAGGGTCTCAGCAGTCGTGGGTTGGACGTTGGTATGGATGAAACCGGCTCTAAAGGATTCTTTGGGGTCAAGTTGAATTTGGTGGGTATCATATAAAATGAAAACAAATGAAATCATTGACTGAATGAAAAAGGTTGCAGGAAGAGTGCACAAAAGCAAAAGCCCTAGTTGCATTCCTACTCTCCCATTCCTCTCACTGACGTGCTGTACTTGACTCCAGCCAGATGCAGACATTCTAATCTGAATGTCTAAGAGCAATCTGTGTGTCTCTTATGTAAATTTAGCACTTGATACCTTTTATTAAATATGTATGTGCCTACCCCAAGGCTCTTAAGGACAGAAACCATATCACAGACATTGTTAAATCTCCCGCGGTGTCTCTGCGGCTCCTGCCACAGGAGATGCCCAATAGCATTTGTGGACTGAACAGGCCACGTTGATCCTCATGGATATGCTGGCACTGCTTCTTAGAACCTCTGAAGCTAAATTTCTCTGTAAAACTGGCCCAGTTTCACAACTCTTCAATCAAAGGCAACATCAGTCTCCCAGTTGTCTACCTGGAAATATCATCATCATCTCTAAATTGTCCTTTTTCTTACTTGTCTGATATACTTTTCTTTTTTCTTTTCCTTTTTTGAGACAGGCTCTCTCTCTGTCACGTGGGCTGGAGTGCACTGGTGCGACCACTGCTCACAGTACTCTCAACCTCCCACCGTGATCCTCCCACCTCAGCCTCCTGAGGAGCTGGGATCACAAGTGCTCACCACCATGCCCAGCTAATTTTTGTATTTTTAGTAGAGATGGGGTTTCGCCATGTTGCCCAAGCTGGTCTCGAACTCCTGGGCTCAAGTGATCCTCCTGTGTTGGCCTCCAAAGTGCTGGGATGATAGGCATGAACTACCATGCCTGGCCACTCTAATATACTTTTGCCAAAGTATTTCCTTTCCATGAAATGTCTCTCCCCTCCGTTTTGATCCATTCCACTGCTCCCACACCCATCTAGGCTTTTATCTCCTAACATCTACAAGGAACTTCAAGCTGTTTCCTGATTCCAACTTCTTTCTGCTCAAATTCACCCTATACTTCAATCCTTGATTCATTTACATAACTTCCAGATTTCTTTATAATCCAATCAAATAGAACATAATCTTATTTAAACTTTGACTCTGAATTTGAGTACACACCACAGAGAAGTGCTGAATTCCTGTGGTGTTTGTTGTGATGGATGATACTATGAAGGGCTAAAAGGAACTCAGTTCTGTGGTTATTTATTTATTGATTTTTTGAGGTGGAGTCTCGTTCTATTGCCCAGGCTGGAGTGCAGTGGCATGATCTTAGCTCACTGCAACTTCTGCCTCCCTGGTTCAAGCAATTCTCCTGCCTCAGCCTCCTGAGTAGCTGGGATTACAGGCACGCACCACCATG